CCACCCAGATGCTATATTGTTTATACCCCTAGTTAAGTAAATGTTATCAATGCTTATTATTAATATCTCTAACAACTAATGAAAAAAAATATATATATATGTAAGTTAATTTAAAATACTAATAAAAACTTTGAAGCCTTCATAAAATATTTTGTGGTACTTTTGAATATATATATATGGAAATTTTTATTTTTAAAAATGTGTAATGATTAATATCTATACCGCACAAATCTGATCTAATAGTAAGTAACTAAGTATAATCTTATTGTGATACCTGCCGATGATTCTTGTTAAAAAAAATATACCTGCCGATGACTGAAACTGAATGCTTTTGACCAGAAAGGAAATATTCCATGATCATCGTAAAAAATATTATAGTGCGTCGAAGGGTAGTGTACATTGGAACATTGATATTACGTACGGACTCCATCGTTACTAGCTGTCATACAAAATCAATATTGTAATAAATGTGATCTTTTATGATAATTGATGACCAAAAATATATATTAAAAATCAATGCATACCATATAAAGTAGATACGTGAATGCGAGAGGGATAATCTGAACCAAACGTCTTGCCGAAACAAGAGTCAACAAATTGTTGCCATGCTCGCTCTTGGATTTATCGGTATTGAAGGATATGATCTTAAAATATTTCATCACATACAAAATAAAACAAGAACAAAGCAGCTGCAGTACAAAAAAGAAAGAATAGATTTCTCAAGTCTTTTGATTGCTAATTGTTAAGAGTTGTACGAAATTTAGCATTTAGAGTGAGTGAATTACCTGAAGCAAAGTTATGACATTTGCACTTGGAAAGCTATAGGAAGAAAGTGCAGCTTTGTTGAACATTACTAATAGAACTGCATGTAATTCAATTTAGAGCTTAGTAGCTATGCAACAAAATATGACAAAATATGTGGAACATTTGAAAACTCTTAAAAAAATAATTTGGGAGTTGAGTATGCATGTGAAATAAGATTTGAAGAACCACTGTGAGAGATATATACATATTTCTTTTAATTTTCTTTAACAAAATTTAACATCAATTCAAGACTATGCAATATGCGAATTTGAAGCTGTATAACTACGTATGACGACACTAACATCTTAGAATTCCGATAGTGTGTTGTTACGTTTACATATTAAAAATACAATTATGACATACCAGCGGATAACATATAAGAAACAGCGGCAAAGATTCCTTTGAAGGATATTTTTGACGCCGAAAGTTTCTTTGTTTTTGTTTCTTCAGTGTAAATTGGTAACCTCTTTTCCCCTAGTGACTCCATTTCTTTTATGTTTTTCTTCTCAATTTATATAATATATATAGAACTTTTCTGATAAAAACTTACACAATAGTTTTAGCTATTCATGCATCAAAATGATCTATCTAGAAACTTTTTATTTGTTACTTTTCTCGGTAAGGAATATATATATATTTCTGTTTCCTATCATTTATAAAAGGAAAAACGATATAAAATTATTGGTAAATACCTCTGTTTTTGTCCCAATATCTCCTAATTGGTAAATACCTTTAAACAATGATTTTTGTACACAGAAACATATCTATTACGCAGCGTAATTATACAGCAGAAACACCACATACCTTTAAACAAGATTTTTGTACACGTAATTTACGCTTTTATCAAAAAAAAAAAAATCTATTACACAGTAAAAGGGGATATATGTTACCATAATATTACAAATAGTTTTGTCAACATAAAGGTTTTTGGTGACTAAGTATGAATATAAATACCTGAATTTAAGATTGAACTTTAAGAATGAGATCAAAAGAAGATGCGCCCAGCTTTGGAGAAAGATCTTCTTCAGACTTGGAATGCAGCAACAAAGACTCGCTACGTGGGCTGACCTCATTACATTGATTTCCAATCTAGGTGGTCCTCCAACTCTAACTCTTAAGAAACTTGTTGCTCAAACTGTGATCTTTCACATATGGAAGGAGAGAAACAATAGGCTTCACAACTCCATTTCGGCTCCGGTAGAGATCATCTTCAAGTAAGTGGACCGCAACATTAGAGACTCTATCCTTGCTCGGAATCATCAGCAATCATTCCGGAACTTGCTATCTCTCTGGTTCACATATGACTAGTTGCATACATAGTTAGATTGTCTAATCTTTCACCCGGGTTCTCTTAGGCTTTTCTAATTTTTTTGGGCTTTTTTGAACTTATTGTTTCGCCGAGCAGATTGTAACAACAATTTCCAGCTTTTGGTATATGAAATTCACGTTTTAT